AAGAGGGTTCTGTGAAGTACGTATATTCGTTTCTCTGGTTCAAACTCACCCTCACGAGCTACAATCCCCAGGATGGACTATGACTTCGATGAACACGAGGAAGAAGACAGTCCTTACGCCGAAGTGCGCGCATCCGTGTCTAACATTGACGACCCAGAGATGCCTGTCCTTACACTGCGAATGTGGACAGTGGGACTGGGGCTCATCTTCGTGGCTGCGTACGTCTTATCATAAACATCACTCCTGCTATCTACTCATGGCCTTACAGAGCAGCGAACATTTTCTTCTACATGCGCCAACCCGCGCCGTCAATCACCTCCACGCTCCTTGTTATCCTCGCACACCCCCTTGGCAAACTTCTAGCATACTGGCTACCCATAACGACACATCGACTGCCTAGATGGCTCGGCGGTGGGGAATGGTCGCTGAATCCGGGTCCTTGGAACATCAAGGAGCACGCCCTCGTATACATGATGTCTAATGTAGCCACCGGCGCACCATACGCGATTCAAGCAACTATCTCCATCGACATCAACTACGGGCGCCACTTCGGCTACTGGTTTAACACTGTGCTTATCCTCGCGACGCAGCTTACTGGTTTCGGACTCGCTGGGATGTGTAAACGAATGCTTGTATATCCGGCGAGCATGATCTGGCCGCAAAACCTGATCGTATGTACGCTGCTGAACACCTTGCACGCCGAAGAAGACGAACCTAGGGGAGGTATCTCGAGGTTTCGCTATCTGGTTTACGTTGGCACTGCTGCCTTCGTCTTCTACTTCCTTCCAGGCAGGTCTCTTCCAATACCACATGTCCATGTTTTTGACGTCTGCACCGTTCAGGTTATCTATTCACAGCGCTGTCCGTATTCACATGGATATGCTGGATCAAACCAGACAATGTTCGCATCAACCAGGCATTTGGCATATACTCCGGCATGGGTGTGAGCTTCTTGACGTTTGACTGGACGGAAATCAGCTGGATTACCAGTCCCCTCATGGTGCCTTGGTGGGCACAGGTTCAAGTGTTCACTGGCTTCGTGATCTTCTACTGGATCATGACACCGGCATTGTACTACACCAACGTAACTGTTCTTCTCGCTCGCTATTGGCCGGTGCTTACTCTCTTCCATACAGACTTGGAACCTTGCGTACTTCCCCATGTACTCGTCGCTGCTCTTCGACAAGTTTGGGAAGGTCTACAACGTGTCAATGGTGCTCACGGACGGGAAGTTCAATGCCACCGCGTTCGATGATTACTCCCCGTTATACCTGCCCGCTGCCTACGCAATGGCCTATCTAATGGCCTTCACACTCGCTACCTGCGTCATCGTCCACACTGTCCTATTCCACGGACGCGCGATACTAAAAGGCTTCAGGAGGATCCAAGTTGAGAAGGAGGATATACATGCCAAGTTGATGAAGGCGTACCCGGAGGTACCGTTTTGGTGGTATCTGACTGTTTTAGCAGTCTTCTTCTGCATGGGGGTTGTAGCAGTGGAGGTACGTCGGGCTATGTACTGAACCGTATAGCTTCTGACTTATGATGCAGGTATGGGACACCGACGCGCCCGTATGGTTCATTCTTCTGGCACTGGTCATTCCGGCGGTCTATCTCATCCCCTCTGGATACCTGTATTCGATCACTGGACAGGTGGTAAGCAACTGGGCTTTCTGACCAAGTTCGCCGCTGAATCCTTGCATAGGTGTCAATCAACATCATCGCCCAAGTTATTCCCGGAACCCTCCTTCCTGGCCAGCCTATCCCGAACATGATCTTCAAGTCCCTGACGCTGCAGACATTGACGGAAGGTACTCGCTTTGTGCAAGACATGAAGTTGGGGCACTACGTCAAGATCCCGCCACGGGCCACATTCATCGTGCAGTTGACGTCGACATTCCTGGTGGCCTTTATCCAATGCGGCATGCAGAAGTGGATGTTCGACAAGGTCCCGGATATATGCACGCAACACCAGCGGTTCCAACTTACCTGTCCACACAACGAAGTCTTCTATGAGGCGTCAGTGCTATGGTGAGTCTGATTTTCCTTCCGATCGACGAAGGTACTGACAACGACTCGTTTCAGGGGGGTAATCGGGCCAAATCGACAGTTTGGCACCAGTTCACCGTACCACCCAGAGCTGTATGCCCTCCTTGTCGGCGCCTTCCTTCCCATCCCCTTTTGGTTATGGCAGCGTCGACATCCTTCCTCGTGGGTACGATACGTCAACACGCCCCTCATCCTGAACGGCATCTCGCCCATTCCACCAGCGACGGGTATCAACTACTCGTCTTGGTTCCTTGTCGGCTTCATATTCCAATACGTCCTGCGGAGGAAGAATTTTGCATGGTGGAGCAAGTTCAACTACGTCACGAGTGCTGCATTGGATAGTGGTATGTCACATACTGACGCATTCAGTACACACGACTCATTTTGCGATTCATAGGCACCGTGATTTCATTGCTTGTCATTTTCTTCACGTTGGAGGTCAGTATCTTATCCGCTCAGCGTTGATGTCCATGAGCTCATCTAGCTATCCGAAATCAGTTCCCGAATGGCGGCCATTATCTCAGTTGGTGGGGAAACGATGTTTGGAAAAACAGTACGTCGCCCTTAAGATTTCTGGATACGACGCTGGCTCACGCTTGTCTTCGCAGCTATGGACTTCAAGGGTGCTATCGTCAAAACCCCGCCATCCGGTGGTGTTACCCAATGATTTATAGTGCCTCATTATAGTTCTCTTACCCCGTGGGCATGTACCTACCCCGACCAGCCTCTCATCATTTCGCAGGCTGCGCTCGCAGCCACTCCTTCGCATTACCCCTCCTCTCGCTCAATGCATACACACCCATCCTCACGCGTCATTATTCGTTTATATCTATCTCATGTATACTCAGCTCATGGTGTAACTCCCGACGTCGCCTCCTTTGCCAGCGGTTGCTCCCGATCTCGTACATTTGTCTTTGGTCTAGATTAGCGTAACTGCTGTCGTACGGTACATATTACAGTATTCTTTTGGAAGCAGGGGAGAATGTAATACATTTACAGTGTCTCAGACGACTATCTGAACTGCAAGCGAGCCCAACAATGTGCCTTGGACCAATGGAAGCACCTTTATATCGCAATTTCTGTGCCTGCGATCTGGAGATAGTACGTACCAGGCCTCAAAAGAATGGAGATGAGCATATTGAGTTGCGGTGCCAACACTCTCATATTCGTCCGGCAACATTAATGTCAAACCACACACAACGACAGGGGTGCCTCAAGGAGAACGTCGACGCAAGATGATATGGCACAGCGTGGCTGACTTCGCACTACTTATACTGATACAATAGCACAAAGGATACAACACATACCTCCTACAGGGGAGTCGGGGGCACTAAATGCGGATGCAAGGTTATCTATGTAAGATGGCTGCGTATGCAGCTCAATGGAATCCCCGCCAGTCGGAGAGCCTGTCCATACCCATACCCATCATACCCATCCCAGGCATGCCGCGACGCCGTGGACCGCCTGGACCAGGATGACGTTCTTCACGCGTGGCAGTCAACACGACATGTTTGTCCACCAACTACGAGGGCGCTCCGCGGTTAGTCATTGTGGTCAAGGGGCTAATACAAGGGCGTACGTCATTCAGTAGACTGGCGGACTTGGTCAGTGCGGACAGATATGCCGTAAGTTGGACATCCTCGTATTCCTAGCAATAATGTGTCAGGAACGGCCGCTTCGCGGCAGGAACACAGAGACGCGACGTACAGTGTCAAACTCCTCTCGGAACCCCTTGTGATCGCTTGCGGGTAGGGACGCGACCAGAGCCGAGAGAGCGCGTAGTGTTGAATGATCTTTGGTCGCTTGCCCTGGACACACAGGCGGTCATTTGCACAAAAGCGACTCAGGTACAACGTGCAAACGCACCAGCCAGAATGTCAGCAACGTATTTGACCAAGAGTACGATACGGTCATGCAACATTTTCACGGCGGCACGTTGCGAACTGAGATGTGATTGCACTAGACGATATGAATGGTATGTAGAGAGACCGCCTTCAAGAGAAACTCACAGCTGTTATCACCCTCACCGCCCTTGGCCGTCCAATCTACGGCGATTCGCTCAGCCTCACCAGTCTCCACGGTATACGGAGCCTCGATGAAGACGGAGCGTGACTTGCGGTCTCGGATCTCTATTGTCGGCTCGTATGCTTTGAGAGGAAGTGACTGTGCTGTGAGGTCGGAGGATGCAGCGAAGATGGTGGAGGGTTGGAGAATGAGGAGCAGTGGCGTCGCACTGTACGGCAAGAACTAGGTATATAAACTTAGATAGTGCGCCGAGAAGGACCCTTGTAACTTGCCTGATCATGTAGCGCAATGTGTTGTGCTGTTGGTCGCGCCGCAACCGTGTACCACCCAATAAATTCGAGAGAGGGGAAGACCTGTTTATCTGTGGGACGCGTAAGCACGGTAGACAAGTGCGACGGAGATCGTCGCACACTGTTCCTTGCGGTCTAGCAGGAAGTCCTGATCCACAGTGGCTCCGTCCTCGGACGCGGCAAGCTCGAATGTGTTCACGATCTCGACGTCTCGTCCATTCTGGGTACCCAGTAATGCTCCAATGACTGCAGGATCTCTGTCAGTGGCGTGAATACCAGTGGGATTGAGGCATACCAAATGGATTGCTCGATCGTGTCTGAAGCTTGAGACGCGTGAGGTGCTCGGAGATATTGAGGATGGGCAATGGGTGTCTGTGCAAACAGCCATGAGCCATATAGCGTGCACTAGCCGGTGGTAGGACATACAGGGCGATTGAGAGTCCTGACGTAGTACTCGATGGCAGCACTACAGGTAGTTCATCTGTTTCCATCGCACTCATCTTCGCTTGGGATGGGATGGCTAGTAGCTGTGGTGATGGCCGCAAGTGCAGCTTCTGAAACCAGGTAGCTTCATGTTAATGGTACATGTGATTTTAAGGCTACTGTCATGTAGCTGTTTGAAGGAGTTTAAGATATGCCTTCTTAGCTCAGTGGTAGAGCGCGTCACTAGTATGTACGCGCTGACGTAAGCGTTCACATGACGAGGTCATTCGTTCGAATCGGGTAGGAGGCATATGTTTTGTTTGTTTTTCGCTATATTGGGCGCGTGTTTGCCTGCCCTAAAGCAAAGTCGCGGACGCGTCGTCGGTGGCGTCGCCCTCGCGCTGCACTTGCGACGACCCGTGTTCGTTCTCTCTTCCTATCCTGCCATGTCTGGCTTTGACGCAGACCGTGTATTCTCCGTTTCTGTGCACGATGTGCCAGAGCCTACCGGCCCAGACTCTCCTTCTCAAACTGAGAAGTTGCTACTAGAGTTTCTGCTTCAGTACCGTGTGGGGGGAGACTTTATTTACCGGTAGGTTGATCTGAGGCTGTATATTTCAAGGGCTGCACTAAACGTACATCAGTGACAAACTTCGTGCCAACCTCCTGCTCAAGCAGTACCAGCTTGAGATCGACCTTCGCCACATTGGTCTTTACAACGACGAGCTTGCCCACGCGATTCAAGACCGCCCAGCCGAGATCCTTCCATTGGTGCATGGTGATCTTAAACTCACTTTTGTAAGGCGACTAACTGTAACCGTAGTTTGAGAATGCGGCCACCAGAGCGGCTCGAACGATACTCTTCCCCGTCACCGCTAACGGTCAAGGGCCTAGCAATGACACTGCCTCCCAGGCCATACAAAACATACAGATTATGATCAAATCGGGGTTGAATCTTCAGCAATTCCGCGACCTCGCTGCAAACACTATGAACAAGCTAGTTCGTATTCCCGGTATAGTCATCTCGGCTTCTGTGCTGTCCGCCCGCGCGACGAAGCTTCACTTGCAATGTCGCGCTTGTCGTACGCCCAAGATTATCTACCCACCGAGCGGCCTTGGAGGCTTGGGTGGTGGCTCGGACAGGGGTCTCCCTAGAGTGTGCGATGCACCCGAAGTTGAAGGTCAAAAGAAGGATTGTCCAATGGATCCCTACCTCATCATCCATTCAAAGTCTACATTCTCGGATCATCAGACGCTAAAGCTTCAAGAGGCACCTGACATGGTTCCTGTCGGAGAGTTGCCTCGCCATATGTTGCTCTCTGCCGATCGATACCTTACGGGACAAGTCGTGCCAGGCTCGCGCGTCATTGCCACCGGTGTTTACTCAACGTTCCAGTCCGCGAAATCTGTACGTCCCCCAACCGCTTCTTGCTCCATCTGCATCTGATTCCCATGACAGAAAAACGGCGGAGCTGCTGCACTGCGGAACCCATACCTTCGTCTCGTCCATCTTGAAGTGTCATCGCCTGCAGCCGCAGGGTCTGGCGGCGCCAACCCATTCGGTGTGCAATTCTCGCCCGAGGAAGAGGAGGACTTTGGTGAGATGGCGCGTAGCGAAGGCTTCTATGAGCGGTTCGCGAAGAGTGTCGCCCCAAGTATCTTTGGAAGTCTTGGTATGTGGCTTGGATGGACCCATGCCAGGTCACTGACAAGAGGTCATAGATATAAAGAAGGCAATCACATGCCTTCTCTTTGGTGGGTCGAAAAAGATTTTACCGGATGGCATGCGGCTCCGAGGGGACATCAACGTACTCCTGCTGGGTGACCCTGGTACTGCCAAGAGTCAGCTCCTCAAGTTCGTTGAGAAGGTAAACCCGGTCTGTGTGCCCTTCTTCTCAAATTAATGTCTGCGTGCAGGTGGCACCCATCGCAGTGTACACCTCTGGCAAGGGCTCCAGCGCGGCGGGTCTGACGGCGTCCGTGCAGCGGGACTCTGTCTCGGTAAGCCGGCCTTGCTATCAATTTTCCTGTGTTGCTGAGGCGGGGCTTGATAGCGCGAATTCTACCTCGAGGGTGGTGCGATGGTCCTGGCTGATACTGGAGTCGTATGCATAGACGAGTTCGATAAGATGCGGGATGAAGACCGCGTGGCTATCCACGAAGCCATGGAGCAGCAGACGATATCTATTGCCAAGGCAGGGATTACTACTGTGCTCAATTCAAGAACGAGTGTCTTGGCTGCTGCGAACCCCGTCTGGGGCCGTTATGACGAAGGACGGAGTCCTGGCGAGGTATGTGTCGTCTAGTACGCAATGATTCAGTCGCTGATACGCCTGGGTGCTGTAGAATATTGATTTTCAAACCACTATCTTGTCGCGTTTCGACATGATCTTCATTGTCAAGGATGAGCATAATGAACAACGCGATCGTGTCCGTTGCGTTTCCGGTTTGCGATATGCCTTCTTGTCTGACTACGCGTGCAGATGATCGCGAAGCACGTCATGAACATCCACATGAATCGTCCGAACGAGAATGCTGATGAGAATGGCGAGACCGTCGGTGAGATTGACATCGACAAGATGAAGCGCTTCATCGCCTACTGCAAAGCGTTCGTCATCTCGCTTTCATCACAACAAACCGTCGCCTGACCTCACTCAAGGAAATGTGCCCCGCGCCTTTCCGCCGAAGCGCAAGAGATGCTTAGCAGCCACTTCGTATCACTGCGAAAACAGGTGCAGCAGGTGGAGCAGGACAACGATGAGCGCAGCTCTATCCCGATCACAATCCGGTAACGGTCCTCCCACTCATTGTCTTGTCGTCCTCTTCACGCTATCCACAGTCAACTTGAAGCCATTATACGTATCTCCGAGTCGCTCGCGAAGCTCACGCTCTCCCCTGTCGTACGGAACCACCACGTCGAAGAGGCCATCCGCCTATTCAAATGCTCGACCATGGACGCCGTCTCTGCGGGCTCCGCTGACGGTCTCTCTCGAGGAGAACTGAACGAGGAGATGAATGGGATAGAGAAGGAGATCCGCAGGCGGTTACCTATCGGCTGGAGCACAAGTTACCAGAGTCTGGTGCGCGAATTCGTTACGCAACGCGGCTACTCGAGTCACGCGCTGGAGCGGACGCTATTTGTGCTGGAGAAACGCGAAGTCATTCGTTTCTCAGGGCAGGTGAGACTGCTCGCTATGTCTGCTAGAACGGACCGCTGACGTTCTGCTGATAGAACAAAGTAGTACATCGGGTGGGGGTTTGATTATTCGGTGGTTGTATCGTTAGTCGGTCTATTCTGTGTCCACGCTGTCGTCACCCATATGTTGTCATGTACTGTATTGTTGTAATATACTAATCTGCTGGAGTTACCAGTATGATCACTCTCTCAGTCACTACTGACCAACACAATTCAGAGTCATTAGGCTCACTGAAGGTTTTTTTTTGCTGGAGCGGTGCGCCCGTACGGCGCTGGGCCTGGCAGCCAGCAAAGCTCATAAAAGACGCTTGTCGGCTTTTATGGTCTGCAACGGAGACTACAGCAAAGCCGTCTCAGGCTCTCCAGATACCCTGCTGACAGTCATGGGGATTTGAAAACCCGTAAATAAAGTTAGTTTGAACTCTGCGTACGTACTATGAAGAAATCAAATCGACGATACAATGTAATTGGTCAGGAGTAGAAAGTCTCGTTCACACTGATTCGTCGGAACAAAACAATTAGCCCACCGCGAGGGTCGAACTCGCAGCCTTCAGATTCCTGCCGAGAACAAACTCTTTAAGAGTCTGACGCTCTATCCGATTGAGCTAGGCAGGCATTGTAGATAATCTTCAACATATGATTGTGACCGCCATCCTCAGAAATGCTACATATTTCTCCATCTCTTCACATCAATTGCCAGAAATAACTGTGCGTGTAGTGTAGTGGCCCTACAGTACTCGCATGAGGAACCTTCAAAGGCGACTTTGGAAACAAGGTCGTCTAGTCCATGGTCCCAGCGACGGTGCTTCGACACCGCGTATGGAAAGTTAGACAGGAAGGAAGCCCTTCTCGCCTTGCGCCATGTTGGGCGCCGTGTCAGAGTCTGCAGCCCGTGTCGTATATGCCGGCGGTCGCGATATCATACGAGTACACCACGGAATAACGCGACAACTCCGAAGCGAGCGAGATGGTAGCTGTACGACCTCGCCAAAGAATGTCACATTTAGTATGGCCTCAGAACAGATACATCATGTCGCAAGTAGGACTACTCACCTTCGCCATATTAATGGCACCAATAGGCGTAAGATGTCCGAAAGCTTCCCATATCCTTTGAATGCAACGGCCGTTCTGCGCACGCTTATGTGCTCCGCGCCGCTCGGAACAATGCAGGCGTCGAAGAGCGTGCTGCGCTGGCCTTCATAGTTGGTGGTCCGCCCAGACACTGACCCGTGGCCTGCGCCCTGGCCTTCTAAGTAGACCCACCCATGACGCGGGCCGATGATCCAAGTCGTGGCTTGTCCCAGTTTAAATGCTGCGCGCATAGCTTCGACCTCGGCCATGTTGAAGCCGTCCGCAACAAGTATAGCGATACGGTGAGACTGATTGTCGGCTCCTTAGGCGTATAGTAGACCTAGCAGAGCGTAGGGGTAGCCTTGTCGTGGTCAAGGTGTGCAGCCTTATTAGGAGCAATACCACCAACGTTGATAGCTACCTGCTTCGCTAGATCGAAGTCGATGTTCGCTGCTAGCTTGTTGTAGGTCTCGAAAACAACCGGACGTCGCAGTGCTAGGGTTCAAATGCCATTGCGCTGATGAGGTGCGTCTTCTCATGCGGCGCCAGCGGATTGTAGATGAGCTGTGCTTGGTTGAAGTGCTTTTGGAACTTTGGGGCCCGCAAGCGCTCTTTGATACCCTAGATCTTTGTTGTGATGCTGTACATGTATGAAGGAAAGTCTAGTGTCAACCCTGAGTTACTTACTCGGCATAGCCGCCTTGATTTATTGGCACAGGTGCACCGACGCCCAAACGACTAGGCCAGCAGTTGATCTAGCCCTTAGTGATCTTGTGGCGCATTTGGCCGTCCCGGTTATGGTTGAGGACGGGGCATACAGGGCGGGGAATAGGCGCTTCCTCCCAGTTCACACCCAGCTGAGCAACCTGTGTATCAAAGTACGAGAAGTTACGGCACTGGAGAAGGGGATCGTCGGAGAAGCCGATACCTGGAACGACGTGCGCAGTACAAACCGCGACCTGCTTAATCTCCGGGAAAAAACTCGCTGTTGATAACCATCTTGCCAATGATGTCAAGAGGAACGAGTTCTTCCGGCCAGACTTTGATAGTGTCGAGGATGTTGAAGTGAAAGTCATGTCCGTTTGCTTCGGGAATGACCTGAGTACCGAACTTACACTTAGGGTACGCGCCAGATTGGATGGCCTCCTCGAGGTCCTTGCGGTGGAAGTATGTTACAGTCGCGATGAGCATTATATGTACCCATGCGTGTACGAAAGCTTACCAAAGCCTTGGCCACAAATTTCCAAGGCCTCATCCCAGACGAAGCTATGAACACCGCCGAGCTCCCCGATCCAGTGAAATTTGACGAAGAATTGTTCGTGCTCTTCGTTCATGAGGGTGTACATATGTGTTAATGCCGAATCCCTGCATCATGCGATACGACCTAGGAATAGCACGATCGGGCATGGCCCACATCACCATGTGTGCGGCTGCATCCTACGGTCAGTTTTATGGGCAGGCATGGTTGCGTGTACATACCTCGGCTGAAGACCAACGAAGTCCCAGAGATTGTTGTGTGCAGTCTGCCCCTGAGGCACCTTGTTTATTGGGCTCGGGCTTTGTGGCGAGGACGAAGTCCGGGAACCTAATAGCATCCTGAATGGAGAAAAGGGGGTGTTAATCTTGACGATGTCCTGAACACCCTCATGCGTGTAGAATTTGGTAGCGAAGCCACGGACATCACGGACGGTATCCTGTTGCGCAGCTATCAGCATGGTGACGGATATAAGCGGGATCGTACGCTACTCACGGCCGAACCACGCGAGCCCTGTACGGTGGAGAAACGGACAAAGGTTGAAGTAGGGAGGGGTCGGTGAGCACGGGCGCGTGAGTGTATTCCTTTGCGCGGTCGTCGTACAGTTTAAAGTAGCCGTGCGCACCGGTATGTACCCTGGACATGCACGACATGCTCAGGAATACGCTCGTGGTCGCTTCAAGCGATAGATCTTCTCGCGCGCAATATGATCCTCGAGCAGCGATTGTCCTACACGTACTTTCAGCCTACGGAGGGTCTCAGCTACTCAAGGGTATCACGGAGACAGACTTGAACACTGAACGGACCAATTGTCGGTTTCGGGGACGTATATGCCACAGTCAGTGGTTGCGCCCTTGTCCTGCTTGTCCTGTAGGTCAATAGAGTCTTTCTTCAAGTCGGAGACCTTTGCAGTTCTGATATCTGCTTAACCTAACCCTTCCAACCACCATCCCACCATGCAGTCCCTCGTTGCTCGCCAGGCTGTCTTGCGCCCCACTGCTCTCAAGCTGTCTTCCAGGACATTCGCGACCTCTTCAGCCCGTGCGCAGGCGGTGCCTACCGAGAAGCCTGTCCTCACCAAGAAGTTCAAGATTTACCGTTGGGTGCGTGGTCGCAGTTGGTCTCCTGAACGAAGTGGAGCACTCATTTGTGACTTGAAGAACCCTGATGAGCCTGCGGCAAAGCCCAAGTTGCAAACATACTCGATTGACTTGAACTAATGCGGTCCCATGGTGAGTAAAATGTCATGTTCCAGCCCTGGGTTGTTTCCTTCGCTTCGCGTCCTGTAATATGTAGACGGTGCGAATGCTAGGGACAGAGGGCGACAAGCGGCATGAGAGACGGAGCATTCATTGCACTCCTCAGCCGGGAACAGTGCGAATGGCGGGCGACCGATCGTGGGCCCGAGTATCTCCGAATTGTCCATGCCCTTCGGTCTGTACTATTGTGTCGGCTGGTGGGGTACATGTTCTTGCCCCTTCGTAGCTGCAATTACTGCCTGTGTTTGCCCTGACCTTGCATGCAGCATTGCATGGCGAGGATAATGGGATCCTGCGCGCATGCACCACTGCTCGCTCCTTGGAGACATCAACGTATACCCCCTTTCTTCAACACCCTATTCACCAGCCTCTGCCTTGCAGATTCTCGACGCCCTCATCAAAATCAAGAATGAGATTGATCCTACCCTCACTTTCCGCCGTTCATGCCGTGAGGGTATATGCGGCTCGTGCGCCATGAACATCAATGGCCAGAACACCCTCGCGTGCCTCTGCCGCATCGACCGCACGAGCAAGGACACGAAGATCTACCCCCTACCCCACAGTGCGTATACACGCGCCAGAGATAGTACTAGTCATGGCGAGGGGGAAATCAATCAACAGGAACGAGAAGGGGCTCTGCAGGACTGTTCGGTACCCCACACCCCATCAGTTTTATGAGCAGTCGAGAGGATGGTGGTGGAAGAGATGCAGAGTCTATGCGGGCGCAAACGTCACCGTTGACGCAGCACTCGGGAGCCAGAGAGGCCGCTCACACCATACAATCACTCCGACACAAATTTTCGCCTTCATAAAACTGGTGGGAGATGCAAAGACAACGACGACGAGCATATTAAACATTAAGCATTCACATGCATCGGGAGATGTATATATAAAGACACTATCAATTCGAGGCCTATGGCGCTGCTTGCGAATAAGAATAGATAACAGACGAAACAGAAACGATCGTGAGCATTACGGGCAGCGGACACACATGCCAAGCCTGGGTCAATCATTCATGGCATACAAGATCTTCGTTCACAACCAGCACGTATCACAACGTAGGAACGTAGACGATGAGTGGATGAGCGGAAGGGACATGGACGGAAGGGGACATAGGACAACACCGACCGACGCATGTATGACATCGTCACGGTGCAGAGCATATCGGTCAAGGTCGACCACAGTAGAGACCGACAAAACGCTCTGCACCATTCGGACGGACGTGAGTGTTGCGCGAGCTGTTGACGAACATGAGCGGAACTATCAAAACAAAACGACGGGCCACGTACGCAAACCATGTGGAGTGGGGAGCATAGTATGATATCATCTACTTCTCGTCGCAGTCGCAGCCCTTGTCTTTGCCGACCCAACCCTTGCCGCAGTCATCGCACCAGCCTCGAGGACCCTTGCCCACACCGATCGACGATGAGGTCGGCATGGCGTCGGAGCGGTGGATGGAAACGAGGTGACGAGTTAGATCGTGCTTACGACTGAACGACCTGCCACACGACTTGTGTTGGCATATGTAAGGCTTAGCGCGGTTCGGGTCGTGAGTCTGGATGTGGGTCTTGAGGTTGTATGCCCTGGCAAAGGCTAGAGCAAGTAGTGAGCAATCACATCGATCGAGTGAGAATGACCGACATACCTCGAGGGCAAGACGGGCACTGATACTTCTTCTTGGAATCCTGCGGCACCTCGTCTAACTTCCGAGACATGGTGGCACTGCTGAGCATAGAGATGGACGGAACGCTGGACACAGCTGAGACGTTCGAGGGCGATACAGTCTGTTGGGACGCGCCCCCGTAATTAAACGTCTTGCTGACCTGCGCTTGCGGGTAGTAGTCCGAGGCCGCAGAGCTGACCATGCGGACGTGTGGCTGCGGCTGAGCAGGCTCATAGTCCGAGAAGCTGCCACGCGGGGAGAAGGTCTGCGGAGAATAGCGCCCGACGTTTGGCACGCCCTTGGGCGAGCTGCGTATGTTTGCATTCGGACTCGCGTATTTCGAGTCATCTTGGGCTGAAGCTGCAGG